TTCGAGGGGGATTTTTGCGGTACTTTTGCATTTTAAACAACACTCAACAAATTGGATATTCTATTGGACGAGCAGCCAAACTCAATAAGGCATATTTTTAAAAATTCCAGATCGCATGGAACCAGATCAAATTATCCGCATAAAGACTGAAGCAATGAAAGGATCTAGCCAGTTGTTGCGGAGATTATCAGTCAGATATGCAAAATGGACACTATTTTCACTCAGCAAATCTGTTAGCGGTTCAACAAAATATTTGCATTTTGCGTTCAGAAGTAGGGTTTCGAGACTCCCAGCAAATCAGTGATGTGATGTATTTACCCAATCTCGTTTAAAGTGATGAATGACAGATAGTCGAATTTCCCCATAATCATATGCGTAGAGTTGACGTTTCCCTTTGATTGCACATGGCCTTGCCTCCAAAAAGCTATTCTCATCCAGACAGGAGTGGACTGCAGTTTCCACCTAGCCTGAACGGGTCTTATCAGCACCCCCAGCAAAACACAATCCATGACAATAAGGTGTATAATCTCAACACGTCAAGAATGCACTTGGGTCACATAAGAGATGAGAATTGTAAGCAAGGCCAGGCATTTCCCCTTAAATGAAATAGGGTAAACACATCTACTGGTAGTCTCAAAAACCTGTTTGCCAGCAAAAAATAAGTAATGTCGTCGATTGTTAAAGCAAATATAACTTTGCTTCATCGACAATCCCACCAAAGAAAGTGATGTGAGAAAATGCATGGCCTTCGTTGAAATTCACATCTGCCCTGTGATTCAAGTTCACTTATGGCGTAGTGGTTGACATAGCGAGATTATACGCTGCACTGTCACGGTTCGAGTCCCATTGCAAGTGCTGCTTAAGCGACGTCGAAACTGCAGTCCATTTGAGTCTGGATGAAAATACCGTTTGGGAAAGCAAGGCTACGTGACGTACACTCATATTATTGGGGAAAATTCAACAATCAGTCCCCTTCCTCATCACCTTAATCGAAATGGCGTGAAAACATTTCATATATTCGATTGACTGGTAGTCTCGAAAACCTTACTTATAAACGAAAAATAGGTAAAATAAAGATATTTCAACATGATGCAAGAGTAAGTCATTCTAAATATTTTACTCGTATCAGTTGTGAAATGTAAATGTAAGCAAATAACTGATGGCAAAAAAAAGAAATAGAAACACGACTACTCGCTTTAGGTGCGTTAGCCATTAACAATGAGTGGCAAGGGCTTCATTTACACAAAGCATTTCATGAGGGCCGGACATTCGCATAAAAGCCGATTATCAACCGCTAAATTTGGCACTGACCAATTTCGAGATTAGAGTTATTCGGCTGCCGGGACCTGGTCGCCTGGTCACGGTGGCAGCCACAATTGTTGCTCAGAGTCGTCTGGCCAGGGAGATTGCCAAGCCGACCCGCTGACTCGCTGTTCTGCCCCTCGGCCTCTTCTTCCTCTTCCTCCTCTTGCACCTGGCGCAGCTCATGGTGCGGATGGAAGCCGGGTTCCAGGGTGGCCCGAAGCGTGCCTCCAGGCCCTGTGGTCCCCGGTTTATCACCGGGGCCGATGGTCATGCTGACGGCCTGACTCGTCAAGGCGCGAGGTGGGTTCTTCATCGCCACTGTCGGTCGGGATGAATGCATCTTCTTAGCAAGGACCCGCGTTGACCCGGGCGACTGTACATCGGCCGGGGTGGCGGGCGACGGTGCAGTGAAGAGTCCTACTAAAAACCTAGGCAACCGGTGTATGCGTGAGGACTGATTGGGTACAGCGTCGGTACAGCCGCCAGGCGCTGAAATGTCGGGTTGGCAGTTGAACAAGGAGGGTTGTCTGGAGCCCAACTTCGGCATGCCGAGTGCCTGAATCTTGTCAGAATCTGATGAGAAAAGTGGAACTTGGTGGTTGAGATTCGGCGGGCCGTCAATGCGATGAAGTGTGCCTGATAGGAAAAGTGAAAATGCAAGTGGAATCAGATTGAAGCAAATAAGATAAATGGACAATACAAGTGGATGCAAGAAGTTACTTTATCAGACCTATTTGTGGTGCACAGTTGAGGCCTGATTTCATTCAGTCTGAACATGTTTAACAAACATACACCGAGAGGAACATGTGTTAAGTAGCAAATACCTCTGATGCATAGGATTCATCAATCTTGCATAAACAATTAACTAAGATTTCTGCGCTGAGTAATCTCTGTATTAGTAATTCACTCGAATTTATTTATCTATCGAACCCATAAAATA